TAGAATAGGGGTCTTCAAACTTGACACCTTTTAAGACTTGTGGACTTCAACTCCTAGAAGTCCTCCAGTCATATTAGCTCAGGAATTTTGGGAGTTGAAGTCCACAAGTCTTAAACTTGTCAAGTTTGAAGACTCTTGCTTTAGAAGGTATCATATCATCGGGGTAACACGATAGCAGTGTTCCCATTTTTGAGGGGCTGCCACAAAAAACGGGAGTCAACCTATCCTCCAAGGCACCAGCAAGCAAGACAAGAACAGTGGATGGAAACTTAAAAGGAGAGGTCCAACCTAGAACTAAGAAATTTTCTGACAGTGAGAGCAATTAACTAGTGGAACAATTTGATTCCAGAAGTTATGGATGCTCCATCACTGGAGATTTTCAAGAAGAGACCGGACAGCCATTTGTCTGCTACATTAAAGGCTTTCCTGCTTGAGCAGAGGGCTGGACTAGAAGATCTCCAACTCTGTTACTCTGTTAATTACAAGTAGTCCTTGACTTACGAACAATTCGTTTAGTTACTGTTCAATGGCTTTGAAAAAAAGGTTTTCATAACTACAAAGAGTCACTAAATGAACTCGTTGAAGGGATACCTATATTCTAAGTGTAAAGCACAAAACCTTGAAGAAAAACAAAGCCCAAGACGGTGATTTTAGGGAGCCAAAATATCTAGAGCCAGCCCTGATATTTGGTTCGTGACTGGGCATGTTGTAGCAAGCTTAAGATGTGTGGACTTCAATTCCCAGAATGACCCAGCCATCCACACATCTTAAAATAGCCCAGGTTGAGAAACATTAAGGTGGAGTTAGAGAGGAGGAATATGAAGGATATGCTATTTGCGGGGAGAAGGTGGGACTTTGGACAAATGTCCTGGATGTAAGGCTTATTGAATCCACTTGGTAGTAGCACCTAGGAAACGTCGGCTGGTTTCAAAAATAGTGACCTGGTTAGTTTTCGGATGGGAGACCACCAGGAAATTCTTGGGTTGCATGGCATCCTGCTGAGTGCCACCAAAATCCCTTTATCTAAGAAGATTGAGCAAAGAAGTAGCTATGTCAACTAAGCCAAGCTAGTTGGTGAACCTTCCATTCCTACAATTTTGACTGTTAACCTTTCCGTACACCTTAACATGAGTTTGAGTCTTCTTTGGAGTATTTGAGTCTTCTTATTTGAGTCTTCTTTGGAATAATGCTGACCTCCAGGCACTTCCGCCCACCCTGTTTATTTTCTATTTTCCTTTTCTTACTCTTTGAAATCTCACTGACCTTATGATTGTTAGTTCTGTGCTTACCAACGAACAAAAGAGAGGAAATTCTAGATTTCTTTTTATCTTTTTTATCTTTGATAGGATGTTCTGTTTAGAATTTTAGCTCATGGTTATTCATACCAAGAACCAAAAAAAACAAAAAATAAAAGCTAGAATAAACTAGATCTGCTTCTTTGTGTCTTTCTTTCTTTGGTGCGTGTTCAGCATGTCTGTTTGACATTAATGATACCACTGGAAAATAGATGCCCTATCTAAATGCTCTATCCTCACTTTTAGACAGATTTAGAAGACAAATTTAATAGGCTGCACCAATGCATCTTTTAGGTGTTAGATTGAGTTACATGAACACAGTGTAAATCTGGTACAGCAGCTATCAAATCTTTAGCCCTTTGCTCTTCCCCATTTAACTTCTGAGTTCTGAAAATTTCAGAAAGTACGGTGCGCTTAAGAACATCATTGAGATGTTGAGACTCTGGAAAGATTGCACAGAAAAGCAACAAAAACGATTAGTGGGCTGGAGACTAAAACATATGAAGAACGGTTGCAGGAATTGGATATGGCTAGTCTAGAGAATGAAGGATTAGGGACATCGTGATAGCAGTCTTCCAATATTTGAGGGGCTGCTACAAAGACGAGGGGGTCAACCTATTTTCCAAAGCACCAAAAGGTAAGAAACAATGGATGGAAACTAGACAATAACAGAATGATATAGGGTCTTTTGCTGGAGCTGGAGGTTGGACTAGATGACTTCTAAGATCCCTTCCAACTCTTATTCTATGTCTTATGAAATACACTGCAGCTAAGTGTTCTGCTCTCAACAGATTAGAAGGCATTGGCACAGGGCAATTGGTAGCAACATCATTCCAATTATTTAGTCTGGACTTAGGGTGTTGTGTGTATCCAGACACCATACTTGCAAGCTATAATTGATACTTTAGTGCCAGCCAACATGGCTTGTTTAACAAGCCACAATTAAAACAAAACTAACCCCATCACTCAGGCCATGGCTGAACAAAGCTTTTAACATCTGGTAGAATTTAAGGGTATGTGGAACAATAGTTAAGAGCAGAAACATGATTTCTCCATCTCTGCTTTCAGTTTTCCCCTTTGGGTCCTAAGTGCCTGCTATTCTTTTTCTGGAAAAGTTAGCAACTAAACAACTCCAAGGGAGCCTCCAATATAGGTTAGTTGCAATTTTCGGCCTGCATCCCTTCTGAAGTTATGGGCGCTCCATCACTGGAGGTTTTCAAGAAGAGACTGGACAGTCATTTGTCTGGAATCGTATATGGTTTCCTGTTCGAGCAGGGGGTTGGACTAGAAGAGCTCCAAGGTCCCTTCCAGCTCTGTTGTTCTGTAACTCCAAAGTCGCAGAGCACACGGTTTCAGGGTACCATTCAGAGCAAGGAGAAAACTCTCTTCTTGTTTGCAAAACTGCAGGGGGAAACTAACAATTACCCCGAAGTCTCTGCCAGGGAGAATCTGCTGTTGAGCTACAGAGAAAGACTCTGTGAAGCAATCTCAATTCATGGGTAGAAAAAAAACCTTCCAGGAACGCTTGACTGAGCAGCCAAATAACAACGGTGCCCTGTTTATTGGACTATAAATATAAAGATACAGTCATTTAATTAATCAATTCCTAAACGTAGCCACTGGGAGTGACAGTTTCCAATATCCAGTTGAAAATAACATCTATTTTTCACAGGCTTTGCTTTCCCTCTGGCTTCTTTTAGCTTTGTGAAGGGTTTCTTTTTCTTTCTTTTAAGCCTCGGGATTATTCTTGGGAAATGGGTAATTTCGGCCTAATTTTTTTTTTTTTTTATTCACCCTTGAGGTTCATTTGTATTGGTGGCCCACCTGACCCCCATAAATCACAATGGGACATGTCATCACCAAAAATAATGTTTTCCAGAATCTCCCCTTAACATCACAAAACACATCAAAAGGCTACTAGGGGATTACAGATTTTTAATGCCGGGGTGGGGTTTCTCTAATAGAGCAAGGAAGCAGCTATGGAAATCTAGCTGCTACAATTGTGGTTTAATAGTGCTTCAATTATATTTCCCTCCCTTCTTCTTGGTTCAGGGAAGGAACAGCTGCATTAACAGAGGGATAGAATCTAGATCACGTGAAGTGCTAATACCCCATTACTATGTTATAATTTTATTATAGTATACTTTAATAATTTATTTGATTCTTTTTATTAGTTTTATTGTTTTAAATATGGTTTTATATTCTGTAAGCTGCCTTGAGTTGCCACGGGCGAGTAAGTGGCAATATAGATTCAATAAAGAAAGAAATAAAATAAATAATGCCTTGGTAAGACCACACTTGGAATACTGCATCCACTTTTGTAAAAAAGATATTGAGACTGTAGAAAGAGTTCAGAGAAAAGCAACAAAGATGATGAGGGGACTAGAGGCTAAAACATGTAAAGAACGGTTGCTGGAACTGGGTATGTCTAGTCTGATGAAAAGAAGGACTAGGGGAGACATGATAGCAGCGTTCCAATATCCACAAAGAAGAGGGAGCCAAGCTATTCTCCAAAGGAAGGCAGGACAAGAATCAATGGATGGAAATGAATCAAGAAGATTCTATTCCACTCCATTCCATTGGAAGGAACCTTGGAGATCTTCTAGTCCACCCCCCTGCTCAATCAGGAAACCTATACCTTTTCAGACAAGTGGCTGTGCAACCTCTTCTTAAAAACCTTCAGTGTTGGAGTACGAACAACTTTTGGAGGCAAGTGGTTCCACTGATTAATTGTTCTGTCAGGAAATTGCTCCTTAGCTCCAGGTTGCTTCCCTCTTTGATTGGTTTCCACCCATTGCTTCTTATCCTACCTTCTGGTGCTTTGGAGAATAGGTTAAGTTTTCTTCCAACTCTGTTAATCTGCAAACTTCTTTGTGGCAGCCCCTCAAATATCGGAACACTGCTATCATGTCAACCTACTCCGTTTTTTCATTGAATTAGACATACTCAATTCTTGTAACCGTTCTTCATATTTTAGCTTCCAGGCCCCTAATCATCTTTGTTGCTCTCCTTTGCACTCTTTCTAGAATTCCAACACCGCTTTTATATAGTGACGACCAAAGCCGGATGTAGTTATTTCAAGTGTAGCATTATAAACCGGTACATTTTGCACTTAATGATAAGGCTAAGCCAAACACCATGGTGCTGCCTTTGCATTATTTTATTAGTCATTTATTTAGTTTAGCTTTCCAAGCACGTATGAGAAAAAAAGTATGAACATAACATATAAGTATAAATGGGTGTAAATATATACATAATAAACGAGTACGAATAAATGGGAACAGTAGGACAGGGACGGTAGGTACGCTGGTGCGCTTATGCACGCCCCCTTACATTATGTGTGAAGCTAACAGCTTCGTGCACTCAACAAGCCATGTTTAAAATAAACTGATTTAATGCACTGCATCGGCTCAAACCTGAACCAGGATGCAAGTCTCCTGCCACGTGGAAACAAAACAGGGCAAAAGCAAAGCTTCACCCGCTGCTACTGAGCATGCTCGGAATCAATGCGCCTTCCCCAACCGTTGCGCTTTAGCTTCTGATAACTGCGCATGTCCGAGACTGCCGGCCGTTGGGATATTCCTTGTACCGGGAAGGCCGGTTAAAGGGGCTCTCGAGAGGCTTCACTTGACGCTAGTGCGCATGCTCCCCAAGGGGCGTGAGTCTTCAACAGCTGTTGGCGAGCGTGGCTGAGATTTACCGCGCATGCCCAGTGAGGACCTGGGAATGGTCTCGGAAGGGAGACGGAGCAAGTTGTTTCTCCCGGGCGGAGGCTGTGCGGTAGCCCGAAGCGTCGGGGTGAGAAAGAGACAGGAGACCCGCCCCTGGCCCTCAACAAGGGGACGAGGACCCCGGCAGGCAGCCCGTGAGTTCAGCCCCCCCCCCCC